CACACCCAGAGAGAGAGTCCCAGAGGAGAGCAAAATTCCTGCCAATGCTCACAGCTAGAGAGGTCATGGCTGCTGATCCTGGTGCTAAGCGTCACACCATCATGAAACACACCGAAATTCTGGTGGCAACAGAAGACAGGGAGGTCAGATTGGACCACGCTAAGTCACTGACCACACAAGGCCAGTTGCACCATCTCGTTGACGATGATGCATCAAGTCTGTGGTCGGAGGTGGTCCAGAAGCTCCCTCCCGAGTGCATGAAGTTTGCACTCAACGCGGCCCAAGACACACTCCCCCCACAATGCCAACTTGTTCCTGTGGAGGAGAGAAGCAGGCCTCTCGAGTCTGTGCAAACTCTGTAACCAGCGGCAGACATTGCTGCATGTTCTCAACCACTGCCAAGTGGCTCTGGAGCTGCGGCGATACAACCAGCGGCATAACAATGTCCTTCGGGTGATCGTCGATGGCCTCCAGAGCCTGTGCCCACCGCAATACCAGATCATGGCAGGCTTACCCGAATCAACATACGACTTCCCTTCAACTGCAGCCTCAACCGACCTGCGCCCAGACCTGGTGGTGTGGAGCGACACCCAGCAGGTCATGGTGCTTGCAGAACTGACAGTGTGCTTCGAGACGAACTACGGACAAGAGGGGTAGAGGGGATTCACGAGGAGATGAATGACAAAACAAGCCAAAAACGGGGCCCGTTCCTCTGAGTCATCGATGCGAATAATGTTACCAACAACCCCTGGAGACTATCTGTTAGTCTCAGCGGTCTCCCAACAGAGTTTGATATCGATACTGGCACCAAAGTGTTGGTTATCTCCGATCACAAAAAGATAAGTCCACCTCTCTTTCTTCCTGACCGCAGACTCAAAGGTCCGAGCAACTGTCCACTGCCAGTAAAAGGGAGTGATGAAACGCGGTGAAAACGGGGTGCAACAGGAGATATTTGTCGTCCACAACCTCCCCCACAATCTACTCGGACGTCCAGCCATCATGCACTACAACTCGTAGTGCGGTTGGAGCCATCTTTGACAATGCGACTCCAGTCCACCTCTACCAAGAATGTTTCCAAGGCTCGGAAACTTGAGGGAGAGTACAAAATCAATTTGAAAAGTGGCTGAAACCATCGCCTATCTCAGTCCCCAAGACGAGTAGCATCTGTCTCATGGGGAAAATATGAGACGGGCTCGAGAGGATGGAGCGACTAGGGGTGATAGCTAAAGTAGAGGTCCCCACGGACTGGTGCTCCGTGGATGGTGGTTGTCCCTAAACTCAATGAGAGGGTGTGCCGCGAGAGACACACCATTACCAGAAGTGGAAACAGAACACTGGCCCAGCTTGCAGGAGCACAGGTCTTCAACTGGATGGCCAATTCAGGCTTCTGGCAAATACCACTCTCTCCCAAGTCCGCCCTGCTAACCACCTTCCTCATCCCATTCGGTCGTATTGCTTTCACCGACTACCCTTTGGGATTACCTCCGCCCCCGAGCACTCCAGCGCCGAATATCAACCCTCCTCGATGGGTTGGACGGGGTTGTCTGCCTAATGGATGATGTCCTAATTCACGGCAACGCACAGGATGAGCACGATGACCGTCTGATGAAGGTTCTTCAACGTCTTGAAAACTGCCGGCGTCACTCTAAACAGGGAGAAGTGTGAGTTCTCTCGAAGTTAGGTCAAATTCCTCGTCAGCTTAATTGACAAGTCGGGTGTGACGTCCGGACACGGACAAGATACGAGCTATTCAAGAGTATAGGATGCCCACGAATGTCGGAGATGTTCGCAGATTTCTCGGTAATGGTGAATCAACTCAGCAAATCACTTCACACCTATCCGAGAAAACCAGACCCCTCAGAGAACTCCTCCAGAAAGATCGGGCATGCTGTGGAGCGACTCACAGGCTCACAGCTGAGGTCATTCAAAGAGCGAAGAAGACTCTGACCACAGCCCCACTACTCGCACTGTTCGACCCAGAAGAGAAACTTTGTCTCAGCCGATGCCTTCGTCATATGGCCTCGGTGCAGTCCTGCTGCAAGAACAGGCGAATCGAAGATATATTATCTCAAGGTCAATGTCACCTACAGAACAAATATAAGCTTTGCATTGACATGGGCGTGCGAGAGATTCTCAGATTATCTCATTGGACTAAAGTTCACAATCGAAACTGGTCACAAACCACTCGTTCCTCCCCCTCAGCTACAAGCACCTCGACGAGTTACCACTCAGAGTCAAAGATTCGAATGAGGATGATGAGGTTCTCGTTCTCCATCCATCACATTCCAGGGGAAAATCTGGCAGCTGCTGATGCACTGTCCAGAGCACCTCTATGAGAGGAAGACCCTGACCTCCAAGATGAAGCAGATGCATTCGTCAGCTACACTGTCCAAAGTCTTCCAGCAACTGAAAGTCGACTGGAAGAAATCCGTCAAAAGCAACGACAAGATAACGTGTGCCGACTCTTAGTCAAATACTGCCGACAAGGATGGCCAGATCGAAGTCAGCTAACAAGTGCTACACGACCTTTTTATTCAGTAGCTAACGAACTGTCGATTGAGAAAGGATTGCTACTGAGAGGATGTCGCATAGTCATCCCAACCGCAATGAGACAGACATAGTCGCAAAACACCATGGAGGCCCATCAGGGTATAGTCAAGTGCCGAGCGAGAGCGCGTCAATCAGTGTGGTGGCCGGGACTCTCTGCTGAACTGCAAGAAATGATCACAAACTGTCGAGTTTGCACCAAAGAAAGAATCCACATTCTGAGCCTCTCATCCCGTCAGAATTACCTGAGCTTCCGTTCCAAAAAGTCGGAACTGATCTCTTTGAGTGGGAGAAACGCACACATCTTCTCCTAGTGGACTACTACTCCAGGTTCATTGAGATCTCTCTACTCAGTAGGCCAACCGCAGCCGAGGGTTATAAATCACCTCCAGAGCATCTTTGCGAGACGTGGGATTCCCGAGATTGTTGTTTCAGACAACGGCCCACAATACTCGTGTGCACGTGAGGCATTTGCAGGAATTTGCCAATTTCAACGCGTTACAAGTAGTCCTGGCTATCCTCAAAGTAATGGGGAAGCTGAAAGAGCAGTCAAGACAATCAAGAATTGCTCAAAAAAGGGGATGATCCCTATGTGGCCCTGATGTCATACAGAGCTACTCCACTTCAGATCGGGGTACAGCCCCTCAGAATTGCTCATGGGCAGAAAGTTGAGGACTACAGTCCAGAACCCGAAATCAGCTCATTCAAAACCTCCCTGACCGAACACTAGTTCGCAACGAGACGAGCAAGAGAAACAGCGGCAGGAGAGATCCTTCAATAAACGCCATAGAGCTCGGGAGCTGTCTGAGTTGGATCCAGGAGATATCGTGTGGGTCCCTGATAGAGACTCAGAGGGAACAGTCAGAGACCAGACAAATACGAGGTCCTACGAAGTGGAGATGGACAAAGGTCTGTAAGACGTAATCGCCATGATTTAATTGACTACCACCGCACAACACATCTCGAATCGATAATGCTGGGAACGAAGACCAGCCCACAACCGATACTTGCAACTCGAAGGAGTACACGATCTACTCAACCGCCGGACAGACTCGATCCGAGTTGGGACTGAACTAAAAAAGGGAGATGTAGTGTTAGTATGATTTCTCTATCACCTATATTGTGTGTATGTGTACGCGCATGCGTAGTATATCATCCATGTGTGTATATATATATTTAGGGTGTGTATACTGTAAATCCGATCAGACTTATTATACATCGGCTAAACGGTAATCCACTGCCTTCACATGCGAGCAGCCAACGCCACATCATTGTTCAGTTCATTCAGATCCGCTGGACTTTATGCTGATCATGTTGTTTCTGTTTTATTAATTGTGCTGTTGCTTGTTTTCCTCTCGTATCTCCTCCTCTAAAAACTTTGTTGTTGGGAATGATTGTGCTAGTAAGCTAAGGAAAGATTCTATTTTGGCAAATAGTCAGGGAGGAGGCAGGTTGCCCATGTTCTGGTGTTTTGTCCAAGATTAAAAAATCCTCCAAAAAGAGATTCAAATATGTTTGCTTCAAAGTTTCGATAATTGTTAAATGGGAATAGTTCTGTTCTTGATCATCGGTGTCAGGGTGTTGTCCAAAATGTTCTGTCTGATTGTAATCTAGTGGACATTCTTTTTACATAGGGCAGCACGGCCGAAATTCTCTTGAATCTCAAGCCTAACGAAGTCAATGTCTCTGGTATTTCGTTGGATTTGCCTCACCTGTTATAGCAGAGCAGATTGCTCTTTTACTTCCATCATTCACCATGGCTATATGCCACAATGTCTTCGTCACTCTGTCATTGTTCCCATACCAAAAGGGAACAAGGATGCTTCTTGTAGTTCTAACTATCGTCCAGTTGCTCTATCTTCAAATCTTAGAGCGACTCACCCTTTCTAAGTATGAGAACTGTTTCTCGAGTTCCCGATTGCAATTTGGTTTTAAATCAGGCTCCTCTGCCATTCTGTGTATCGGTACAGTCAAATATGTTGTTTCCAGATACATTCATAATGGGACTTCTGTCTTTTGTTGCTTCCTTGATGCATTTGATCTTGTTGATCATGATATTCTCTTGGATAGAGGTTTACCTGTGGTTGTTGTTAGGTTCTTGCGGTTTTGGTATAGTAGACAGCAATTGTGTGTTCGCTGGAACTCAAGTTTGTCTGTTCGATTTTCTAATGGTGTTCGTCAGGGAAGTATTCTGTCACCTTTTTTGTTTTCGATGTTATATAGATGGTTTGTTGCTGGAATTGAGTAAGAGTGGTGTTGGCTGTTTATGGGGTTCTGTTTTTGCTGGTGCTTTTTGCTACACAGACGACATTGTGTTGTTAGTACCTTGTGCGTCAGCCCTACGGATTATGTTAGACATCTGCAGCTCATTTGCCACAAAGAGGAAACTGGAATTCAATGCTAATAAAACACAGCTAATTTGTTTTCATCTTCCACATATGCATCCTCAATCTGCCACTGTTATTGTTCAATAGTGTTGGTCTTCAGTACTCCAGTAAATTCACGCACTTGGGTCATATCCCCACTAGCACCCTGGATGATTCTGAAGATATTGCTCGAGTTTTAAACGACTTGATTCGTAAAGCTAACTCGGTTTTATGTACATTTCATCATGTGGATCCTTTTGTGAAGACCTTTTTAATCAAGTCTACTACCTGTTTCTCTACGGTGCCTCCATCTGGTCTCTGGGTGCAAAACAAATAAAACAGCTTGAAATCGGTTTTAACAAAATTCTGCGGAAGATATGGTATCTTCCCAGAAATTCTCATTCTGGTATTGCACATTGAGTTGCACATGTGGATACCATAAAGAATGTTCTATATCGTCGGTTTTAGTCACTGCTCTCTTCTGCTCCTTTATCACCACATGCCTCATAAGGTCTATTTTTATTGAGTCTTCACTTTCTGTTCCATCTTTTACTGGTTACAACTGTCTGTATGGTGCCAAACATGTTAGATATTTTAAAGACACAGAGTACAACATTGCCTGTTCTATAAGACTTATTCGTTCATGTCATGGCTATAATTCATGTTTTGAACAATTTATTACCTATATACTGGTCTTATGTTTAAGTGCTAGTCACTCATTTATTCTTCTTTTCTCTGCACCTTTGTTTGGTGTGTACATGAATCATCATAATAATAATAATAACAATAATAGTTTTGATGATCAAGCCCGGCCTATGGTAGCGGACAAAAATTACTGCAAATTGAAGAAGGTACAAATTGGTTGAATGAACTCGATAGCATTTATCTAGCTTCAATCTGGCTCCCAATGGTCCATTACTGAGCAAAAGAGAACACAATATATACTGTTTCAGGAAGATTTCATCTAACAGTGTCTCAAGAATAAGTTCTGTTTCCGATTTTCAGAATTTGTGTGTTTTTCATGAAATACTCAGAACTTTCATGTCATTTTGCAATTGATGTTGAGAAACATTAGCAGATTTATGTTGAAAATCTGAGCCACTGGATGACAAATTTGTGAACTATCAATTGATGGGCACTTTTCACTAAAATATCAACATGTGGTTCACAATTTGTCACCCTAAAATTTCAGGGTTCACCAATTTGTTACCCCTGTAGTATGGATAGTAGCTATACACAGTCCCAAATTTGTGAACCCTTACTTCAAAAGTTCACAATCAAACTTTGCTAAAATATGCCGATTTTTGTATATAATATGATTTTGGAGAAATCTGAAATTAACATACTCAATGACAAGTTGAACTACTGCAGCTAATCCTGCTCTCTGCCACACATATCATGTGGAAGAACTTTTCCATAAGTTTTTTGTGTGAAAGTTCCACATGCGTGAAAGAACTAGACTAAGTGTATAGAGGTGGAAAATACAACCGCTCATTTTTATCCCTAAATTTAGTATATTATAGCTATTTTATTTTATTTGAAGACCATCTCTGGATGGTAAGTTTTTTTAATTTTCTTATAAAACTTTGTGCAAATAGCTACGCCATGGGATACACAAAAGGTAGTGGTTATTAATAAGTGTATATACCTATAATTGTATAATGCTTAATACAGACAAAATATTGCCGAGAAGTATGTTTTTGAAGCCCATTAGAGACTGTGAATCTGTGACATGGTTTGGTAATGAGTTCCAGTCTAAGCAGGTAAGAAGAACATTTCAGGATGTTTGTTCTTGCAAATGGTTGGACGAACAGAGACGTTAAACCATATGAGCGAAGATGGGTTATTCATCAGATCAACTGCTAAGAACGGCAGGAACTTCTGCGAAGATCGCACATGCGCTTAACCACTCAGCCACACCTACTAATTGCCGGGATGGGGAACTCCACATAATATTCATTATTAAATTTTGCACAGCTGAGGTAGAGCCTATGATGCCTAAAAGAGGTAATACTGAAGAGAGAGAGCAGTTCAAGGTAATCAGAGTTCCACCTCTTAGTGCACACGCGCAATCCGAATTTTTGTACTTGTTCCAGCTTTATATCCAGGTGAGGGCTCCATACTTCACACGCATACTCCATGTGTGGACTAACAAGAGCGCTATAATTATAGGTTGAACAGCGTGGCCGGGTCAGTGTCGCCCTGAAACTGCCTGTAACCAGCTTCCTGGCTTTTGAACACTTGGCATGTATGTCGTCTGACCAAGTGAGATCTGAAGTGATTTAGACTCTGAGATACTATGTATGTACATATGTACTCTCTCTAAGATGTTGTTGCCAAGTTGTATATAGATGAAGAAGAGGTTGTGCTACGTGTTTTCTGGATATTACCATTTGCTTGCATGTTGATGGGTTGAAAAATATGTTGATGACCAGTTGAATATTAGATTCATGTCATTCTGCAAAGTGTGGGGAGTGAATACTCTCGTATAACAACACATCATCGGCGTAGAGTACCATCTTTGCTCCATGGGAAAGTTGAAGGTGTGACAGACTGTATTATTATATATACAGAAAAAACAGAAGAGGTCCCAAGACTGAACATTGTGGAACCCTGATAACTGGAGTTGATTGGGAGATGGCCCCTTCAACTATATTTACCACTCTCTATAGACAATAGTTGCATATCCATCTAATAACAGCCGGGTTGAGTTGAAGTGATTTCAGCTTGGAGATCAACTTGCGGTGTGGGACCAAGCCAAACGCTTTCTTAAAGTCAAAGAAAACAGCAATTCCAGAGTCCAAACTTTGCATCCACTCATTTGTTACACTAAGCAGTACTAATGTAGTACTCCTTCTGGCTCGGAAGCCCCATTCTAGCAGATGAGTCAGGAACAGGTGCCTGATGATTAGGCAATGTATATGGCGCTTAAATACTTTGCTGAGAATGGATGCACATCATCTAACCATGCTTTCATGGGGAAGATAACAAATATTTTGGTCAGTAGTTTGAAGGACTAGTACAGTCCTCTGATTTGGGTATAGGCACTACGCGTCTACAATAGAGTACGCGCGGGCAGCTTTGATCCGCCCACGCAAGTCACAATAAAACGATTAAATCTATATTATCCTCCACAGCGCCGAGATCATCATAAATCAGAGGTGGAAGAGAATAATTAAAGTACTTTGAGAAGAAGCTTTCAGTGTTTGATGAAGCATTGGTAGCTACCATCTTCAAAAATGGTAGGAATAGATACTTTCCACTGATTTAGATTTTTCACAGCCTTCCAAAATCTTGTTTGTCAAATGACCTGAGTCCCTTTAGGTACTTGTGTTCAGAGAGTCTAAGCATGCTATTGCGGAACCTCTTGTAAATTTCACAGTCAATTCCGAACCTTCTCAGTGGTCTGGATAAGTTGTTTAGTTACCTAAGGGAGATTTTTTTTCCTGGGTGCAGCACTGCCTTGGAAAAATTGTGGCAGAGAAAGAAAAAGCTGCAGCCTGTCACACCTTCATTTTCCCTACGGAACAAAGATGGTACTCTACGCCGATGATGTGTTTGCCTGGACTGCAGAGTGTCTATAGAGCGTTTGCCTGAACTGCAGAGTGTCTACAGAGCTCTAGCCTAGACTGCAGAGTTTCTATAGAGCGCTTACCTAGACGGCAGTGTCTATAGAGCTCTTGCATAGACTGCAAGAGTGATTCACGAGTTCCAACACACCCTGGGGCAGCTCTTCTTTTTAGAGCTGTCCAGGGTGTTGACTTATTTGCCTTGCCTTGCCTTTCTACCTGGTTGCCAAATTGTTGAGTCATATGTATAATACACAGAGCTAGGGACAATGACAATTAATAAAAAGAATGTGGGGTCCATGGCATGCAAAGTGTGAAGTTGAGTGATCTAGGAGTTGTCACTTGTGATGTGGTGCTGATATGTTCGGCCATGCAAGGTTTGGTTATCCAGATCAGACTGTTTTCACAGAGGGCATTGTCTGGTGTGAATGATCAGGGTAGGTATCACCCTCACAAGGATTCTCATTCCCGTGACAACAAGGCCTTCTGTGTCCCGTGCATGATCCCATACCGTTTTCCAACGAACCCTGCACTGCGCATGCGCTGTACGCATACGTATTTCGCCCTTTTGCGCATTATAGTCGTTGGCACGCGTTGCTTGCGCGAGGAACACAGTTTGCGACGGTATTGCAGTCTTGAGAAGCGGTGTTCGCGTATGTTTTGTATAGGAGTACTTCTGTTACGTTCTCTTTGGTCAGAATCAAGCCTACATCCCAATGATCGAGAGCGAAAACTGTTCGGATAGTCTGAGCAGCATACCAGAGAGTGGATCTTTACCATCAGAGTGTCCACCCTGGTTTACAAAGGATCCTATTACTGGCAAATGCAACAGAGGACCTCGTTTTGGATTGGAATTATAGAGCAAGACATGTCGTTGATGCAACACAAGTCATGGAGTGTTATTTGCATGACGGAAAACGACAGTGTTCTATCAGTGGTTTTTCTCTGCAGATGTGTTGTGCTTGAGAAAACCATATTATACGCTCCATGTGACATACATCAATTACAGAACTGGTCCTGTCCACCTCAAATGAACAGACGTGTATATCTCTGCAGCCAGTGTAAAGAAGGCTACGGATTTCCGGTGTATTCATATGCTTTGGAGTGTGTCAAGTGTAAGGACTACAAGTACAGTTGGATCAAGTACTGTGGCAGTTGTATATGGTCCACTTACAGTATTTTTAACATGATTGTAGCTTTGGTCTCATCAACTTTCCTTCTCCTACATTTTTGCGGAGTTATCATGTTTTCCAATAGTTAGAATCCTGTGTTGTTCAATTACTGGTTCAAGATTCCGATGGGGAACATTCACATTGTTGGACATAGCCATCACACTTTGATCACTATGGAATCTGACTTCTTTCGAAAGTATTACAGATTTTGCATCATCCAATGCTCTGCACTTGGTTATGTCACTTGAGCTTCTATAGCTGTATATACACTTGTATTCATCGGACTGGACTTTCGCCATGGTTAAACTGCAGATGTCGAATGTTAAACCACTAGTGTGGGATGGACGGTGTTCACAAGGTTTTGAAACCCATTAGAAGGAATGTAAAAACTTCTCTTGTAGAGAGGTGTTTGCATCATTCATTTGTTCACGGTTGCTTTTAACATCAATGTATATTTTAATGCTTTGTACGGTCTATACCTACAACCCAGAGTCAGATAGACTGACAAAAGAGTATATACTTCATTATAAATTCACCTACAGTTGAGTACTTTGGTAGACGACATCTTCCATTCGCATTAATGGTCATCGTTTTGTCAACTATGTTTTTCACTGCACCAATGTTTTACTCTTTTTGTATCCTTTCCCGCAATGTCAAAGTATTCTCAATAGGTTTAGATGTAACTCTATTGTTCTGCATAAATTTTTCAAGGCAGCTACAAAGATGGACACAATGGTACAAGGGACCATCGGTGGTTTTCAGGCTTTATTCTCCTCTTTCCTTTGATGATGTACCTTTCCTTTGTGTTAACCAGGTCAGATATTTTTACCCCATAATCTGTTTTGTGGATCACTATTATCTCACCTTACATTATTGTTAAGCCTTTTAAAGTGTTTGCACATAATACATATTCACTGGTATGCTCTTGCATTACTAGGAACATGGTGGGGGTTAGAAAGCCTTAACCTTAATGAGATCTATGCGTTTCCTTTCTCATTAGTCGTTTGTGCCATCCACCGTGATATGCACTGTGCTCCCTCAGTGTACCAGTATTTTATCTCTCAGTATACAGGTGTATTTATCAAAAGAAGGAGTTCGTATTTCTATCCAGAAACTGAAACTTGTTTTAGAATGAATGCATCAGTTATTGTTGATGTGTTTTGTCTTGCATTTTTATTTCCCAACATGTTCCCAGTGCAGCAAATTATTTCCAAAAGAACACGTTTTTTTTTTCAAACCTTCAAATGTTTATGTATTGCTGCATGAAAAACATGTTATGGTCCTGAGCAGAATTGCATTACAAGTTTAAGCTCTTTCTCAGTAATGTTGGACTGACATTTCTTCAGGTATAATATACCAAATGCACCTGCATAATCCTGTATTGTGGGATCTCTTTAACTATATAGCTCAGTATACATATTTGTAGCTGTGATCACGACTTACTGAAATGATTTATATCGATCTTTATAATATAGAGAGTATATTTGTAACTAGTTATCTACTACACATGATCATGACACACAGAACAATATATACGATGAACACGAATAGACTTTAAATGTAATGATTTTTTGGATGACCTGTATAATACGTATCTCAATGGCGAACTCTCGACTCTTGTTGCCTAGGTGAAGTATATAATCATAATTATGCCTGTACTTAATAGCTTGCTATATACTGGCTAACAACAACATTGAGTCAAAATAGAGTTTAAGAGGCCATGGAACACCAGGCAACAATATAGGGGTTGTGTGCGTTGGGGTCGGGGGTGTCAGCATCCTTAAATATGTTAGTTTAATTCACTTGTCTCCATGGCAAAACCGACTCTTCCACTCTCATAACTAACAAAGGCAGGAGACTAGCTATCTCAGGCCTTTCTTTTCCCCATAAATTTACAGTGCAAAGTGTAGGTTCATTGTGTCATAGTGCATGGTGCGTCACCAGCTAAAATCAAGCTCTTTAATACACACAGCCAAAACTATCCAAAAATAATGACATATCTTGGGTATTGTCTTTATAGACCCAAAAAGAGATTGAATGGTGTCTAGCTACAGGTAGTCTCTCTTTGGTCATGGAGTTGTTAGAGCTGTATCAATGTCTGTAGGTATCTCAATATCAGCAATATCCTGCAGCAATAATTAGAGAGCATGGAGATTAATACGGAATTCTACAGGACCTTGCACACAGCAGGTACTCACTTGTACATGCAGGGCCTGGAATGGGGAGAACTGGGCCGGGATACGAGAGACTGCAGCTGTGTCAACTGTAGAGAACTGAGTTCTCCTCTCCAGTTTCTCAGCCATTCTCTGTCTAACTACCACCTGGTAGTCCTTACTCAGGACCTAGTGCAGAGCAGGAGGTCCTGATTCCATATCCATTAGTGTAAACATACTAACTATACCTTCTCCTGTGCCATCTCACTGGGAGAATCTCTTTTTCCACTTGGACAAATTCTTTATGGTCGTCCACACTTCTTTCACTACCCTCTGTTGAAGCATCATCTAATTAGAAAAATAATACTCAGGTGGCAGCCATCGACCACACACCCAGAGCAATGGGCAGAACCATTAACAAACGAACATACACCAACACGGGAATCTGTCTCACCTCCCAGACACTTCAACTCACCTTTCCACCTGCAGCTCCCCAGATGCAATCTCAGACGGGGACTCTTGTACACTGGAATTAACCTAACCTTTCTTAACTCACAAACAAAACCTTAACACGGTCAAGCAGAGAACCTAGTTTATCCCCCACTGCTTACTACCCAAAACAAAAGATGCTTTCCTGAAACTGTCGCGCTACTGTAAATGCTCACACCCATCCCCAAGCTTCTTCTGCAGGGCAACTAAGAAAGTTGCTCCTTAGACGTATACTATATGCTGGACACTCACACAACACATGACTCACACTTTCACACTCATCATCACACAACAAGTATTCCCTTCTCTCTTCCCTCTCCTATGCCTATCGATGCAGCTCAGCCCATGCGTGCCTGACCTCAACTTAAACATTAATCAAGACCCAGCATCACTTGCCCCACGCAAAATACATTTGGAACTCTACCACCTTATGTCTTATACAATGACAACTCTACTTTGATATTTAGCCCCTCTTCCAAACTTTCTAACAGCCCTCTCATTGATACTGTCTTCTACTATTGACAAAATCCCTTCAAGGAGCAATCCTCATGAATATCCTGCAACCACTCTGCCTTGTCAAGATCGAATGATGACCTTTACTCCAGCACTTCCTTTGCCTGCCTTTTCGTGGCTTAAAATTCCATTCCTGATTAAAAAGCTTTTTCGTCTACCTATTGCAGCTAACCTATTATCTCTATGCCCATGTAATGGATCAATCCCCATATCCCCCCTAACGGCTTCACTACATATTTAGACGAACACCCAAGAATGTGTGCTTGACTCCTCCCAGAATCTAATGCAGCTGCCTGAGTCTTATTGGCCCCCTACACTTCATATAAAGTTGGCCCAACCACCACCAGCAGCAACAACCTGCGAGCACCCAAATTAATATTCCTATTAGAAGTAATTGACCCTCTTTCTTTTATTGCCTAACACATTGGTGATATGCATACCCATGCACCAGTACTATAATTATAGAAAAAAATCCACACCCAAGTATGTGTATTTAGATACTCTAGGAAGAACATGCGTATGAACACCATCACTGCACTCTTACTCACAATAGCCTTTAGCTTCCATTTCCGACAGTAAGCATGCACCACATCTATGAGCTTCTGTAACTGATCCTTTGACTCACTAACACCAACGAAGTCATCTGCAAACAAAATTCTTCCAAGCCTCCCCCGCACTATTTAAATCAATCCCAATCCCAACCCCTTCCTCTACCTCCCTAACAACGCATTGGTAAACATGGAAAACAAAATTGGTGATAAGCCGTATACATCCCTGAGCTACCCCCTGCTCCACATCAAATGCCTCTGACCGTTCCCCATCCAACAATATAGCACTCTCGTACATCCTCTTTATAACCCTCCACATCTTCCCTCTTACACCACAGGCTGTTATGCCACCACTATCATAATTATGCCTTCTGTACATCTAGGAAGAATGCATGTCTCCTTCAGCCTACCCTGCATGATTCATTCAGTGTATAAACATTATCAACACAACCCCTTTAACTCTAAAACCAGCCTGACCCTCACGCAATGCTCGGCCCTTGTCCAGATGCTTCACCACCTATGTTCAAAACCTTACAAAAACCTTCCCAACCACACTCAGCAGAGTGATACACCCTTATCTCCCTTCTTAAGTTAACTATGAGGCCCTTCCTCAACTGTGGTGACACTAACCTCCTCACGCCAAATTACTGTAAACACCTGTTTAGCAACTCTATCGTTCCTGACCCACCATACAGAAGCTCCCCACAAGTGCATCACTACCACCAGTCTTGTTATTTCTTCAACTTTCTAACACATGCTCCAAATCGATTTCCCTCTCACCACCTGCCTGCCCTGCCACACACCTCTACCTTATCTCCTACCTCAGCCCTTGCCACAACCAGCTCTCCCTCTCCTCTACTACTGCACTGACTAGCCCACTTCCAGTCATTCCCTCACTCACTCTTTCCCTGACTCTCTCTGAGAATATCAACTTTTTCTCACTATACTTCGCTTTAATCTTCAGGCTTGGCCTTACTCTAGTGCACTCAGGCTCTGACACTAACTTCCTACCATTACATATCACCAGCTCCACCTCATTCAAGAACAAAATCAGCCTATATCCACAGGCATTACAAGTCTCCTCCCCAAACATCCAAATGACAACATCAACATCAGCAGATCTACCCACCCTCGCATTAAAATCATCAAGAAGAACCCTCCCCTTCTGCATGAACCCAGGCACATCCATCTTCAACTTGATGTAACTATCCCCAATAACAGAAGCACAAGCACTATCTGAGTGCATATAAATGCAACACACATACAATGCTTCCCTCTTCTACCATTAACCTTCATCCACACATAATTAGAATTAAAACAGAATAAAATGAAGAGGTTGCTCTACCAGTGGCATGGGGGTTTTGTGAGGAGATTTGGCAGGAGAGAGTAGCTGCTGCTGGTGATGCCCAGGACTGAGGTGGCTGTCCAAAGCAGCCAACACACTGGCCATCAGTAGTCCACATTCTCAGTGAGTGGTCAGCCGAACCTGAGACGACGAGTCCGGGATCCACCCACACGACACTCATGGCCTCACTGGAATGGGCCTCCCAACTCAGCTCAGCCTCCACCTTTCCTTCATCCTGTCCACCACCAACGCTATAGTCAGGAGGTGAGAGGGAGTGTGTGACTTACTGGTGTGTGTTGGTGGGTGCAGTAGTGTTCAATGTTGAAGAGGTGGAGATAGCCAGCAGTGTCTCCTGCCAGCAGCCACCGACAGTTGTCATCTATTGCCATTGCCATCACCACTTCTCCCTCCTTCTCAGTCATTTGGAATGAACCTATAGAGAGAAGAAGCAGTATCTACCACAGTAGCTTAATATACGTAGGGAGGGACACAAACCAAGTGGAGGACCAGAACTGAACATGTCCCAGAAGAATGCGTGTCCTCCTTCGCTGGTCACTAGTGTACTTTGGCCTCTTGCCTTAGACTTCACACGTGTTTTCAAGAACAGAAGTTTGTCAACAGGAACGTGGTGTAAGTGGGAACTGCGTGTGATTTAGTCTTAATTTGTTAGCTACAGGCATAGACAGCCGAACCTGCTTGCAGACTTGAGTCTGTATGATGAAAGCCTCCTACTGGCTGGTCTGGATGATGTTGAGAGAGAATTGGTAGCAGAGGGTGGATGTTGTGATGTAGGAGACTTCAGAGTGGCAGATGTGCTGTGGAATACAGCCGACTCAAGAAAGTGTGGGAGTTGTATAAATGGAACATACAGAATCTGGTCTCTTCTCTTTAATTGTGATCTGAATTGAGCCACAATCCGTTCAGTGTCGGTGTTCCATACAACAGTGAGACCATCAAAACTGCCAGTGGCAAGGTAGTAGGGAGAACAGTAGTCCATGGTGATGATGTCATCGCAGTGTGGGGTTCCACCAGCCCAGGCTGGCTCTGGACTTAGCTGAGCTTCCTATAGAAAGAGCATCATTTTATGCATTCAAAGGCAATTGGTACAATGTGTATGAAACTACCGACTGACTAGTGCTATAGTCAGCTTATATTGACCCAAAAACAATCATGTTTAATTATATAGGGTATGTCTCATGCTAGCCAATGGCCATTATTTAACCTGGCACATCCTGACCCCACCATCAACAGTTTGTTGTGATGCTGAAACACACCTTGTCTTCAAAGACAGATATCTGTCTGTTCCAGCCAGTGGCAAGGAACCTCCTCATCTCTGGGTGGTGCAGTATGCTGACAACTTCTGTGGCTCCAGGAGTCTCCAGACTCTGCAGGTTCTGCCCCGTCAGACTGTCCCAGACCTGTATTCACTCTGACTCACGCACCATCAGTAAACAGGGATATCTAAACCTTGATGGCTCCGAAACGTGACCCAGTCAGGATACGACCTCCCTCAGTGTCTATACTGCCAGTGCTGTCAGCTCTTCGTCTCTGTGGCAGCCCTCTACCTTCATACAGGTCCTTCTGAAACCAACCTTACCCAGCTCATTTCTGGTCCTACACATGTTAAAGGAAATACTCTAGACATTCTTCTTACTAACAATGAATGCCTAGTCACCCAAGTATCCGTGTTGAATTCCCCCCCTCTCTCTTGCTCTCTGACCACTATAGAATCTGCTTTCACATCGACAACTAACTCTTCATCACCTAAGCGATACGAATCAAACTAGTGTTCAAATTATGCAATGCTGATTTTGATGGGCTAAGTGATTTCCTGCTTGATTTAGACTTCAGTTGTTGTCTACAGTCTAGTTCTGTGGAGCTCGTCTGGTCACACCTAAAGAATTCCATACTAAAGGGATATGAACTTATTCATTCCAAAAGTGAAAGTGAAGTATAAGAGGTATCCTTGTTGGTTCAATCCGAGATTAGACACACAATTAAGCGCCTGCGTTCTGCAAAGAAAAACATTCTTCTCCACTAAGGTCCATTCTCTTGAAACCTACCTTTCTCAACTCATGGTCAACGCCGAACTGAACTTCGAACCAATCTAGCTTTCCAAACCTCTGATAAGATCTTTAAACATTTGAGAGGCCTCATCATCCTCCCGCTCAATACCCTCAATTGTCACACTGGATTCATATACTGGTTCTAGTGACTATGAAAAAGCATCTATTTTTAACAATTTATTCCACTCAGTTTTCACCCAGAGCACCTTTTCAGCTACCTCCATAGAAGATTTGCACACCCCTACATCTACTCTATCTGATATAGGTATTTCAGAACTGGATGTGCTTGAGGCTTTATCTACTCTTGATACATCCAAAGCCATGGGAACTGATGGTATCGGTCCTAAGATTCTTAAACGATGTGCACTTGCACTGTACAAACCCCTTCACCACCTATTTCTCCTAAGTCTGTCTCAACACTCCTTCCCTCAGATTGGCATATGCACCTGATTATTCCAGTTCTCCAAATCTGGAGACAGTCATCCGTGCGAAACTATCGTCCAATATCTCTTCTCTGCTCTGTATCCAAATCCTGGAAAGGCTGATCTATGACAAGATATCCCATTCGTATCTACATCTATCTCTTCCTGTCAATTTGGTTTCGTCCAAAGCATTCCTCGACGCAACAACTACTGATCTTCTTAAACACCGTTCACACTATTCTAGACACCCACTCACAAGCTGATGTTGTCTACCTCGATTTTAGGAAAGCATTTGACAGTGTGCCTCACAATGAACTTCTCATGAAGCTCTGGTCTTTTGGTCTAACAGGAAACCTGTGGAAGTGGTTCCGGTCCTACCTGTCTGGTAGATCCCATGTACATCAGTGCACATCTGACTTACTCCGTTATCTCAGGTGTTCCACAAGGTAGTATCCTGGGTCCGCTCCTGTTCCTGATATTCGTCAATGACCTTCCTCTGTCCATCAGGCATTCCCACATATTCCTTTACGCAGATGATACCAAATGTCTCAAGAATGTCTCCTCTCAATCTGACTCTCACTCTTTGCAAGATGACCTTTCTAATCTATTTTCCTGGAGCCTTCAGTGGAATTTACACTTCAATGAAAACAAATGTGTTTTACTCCGTCTTTGTCCTAAACACCCCCGTGTCCTCCATGACTACACAATCAATAGCTCACCAATTCAAGTCCTTGATTGCTATCGTGATCTAGGAATCCTGATATCTATATAGTGACCTGAAGTGGGACAATCACCTGACAATGATCACTGCTCGGGCCTACAAAGTTTTAGGCCTAATTCGGAGGTCCTTCTCCAATGGCCTATGTCTTTCAGCCAAGAAAAGATTATATTTATCTCTCGTGTGCTCTCAACTAAACTATGCTTCCCAAATCTGGAGACCTTACCTCATCAAAGAGATTGTTGCTCTGGAAAGAGTACAACGACGTGCATCCAAGTTTATCCTCAATGACTATCATCAACTTACAGCACCGCTTAATATCTCTGACATCCTCCCTCTTATGATGCAACTTGAGCTGAATGACATTCTATTTTTCATTCGCTGACACGTCACAAGCTTTTCAAATTCAATCCTTCATGAACTTTTCCAAAGGTAATACCCGCTCCACTACTTATCTTAAGTTGAATCACTCCTCTTCTAAAACATCTTCTGCAGCCCACTTTTATTTTAACAGACTCCCTCGGCTATGGAACTCTCTCCCTCCGATAAACTTGGAACTATCTCTCCAATCTATCAAGCGTCATCTCTTACAATTCTTTTGGAATCACTTCAAACCAGCTTTCAGAGTACAAATCCATGCACTTTTCACTTTCTTTTGCCCATGCGCTAAGTGTTCCAGTACATCAAACAACCTGTTTCTCTTCAGTTACTACATCTTAGGACACCAGTACTCCCAAACTGGTGTTCCTTCAGTACACTTCTTTATAATTACCATTCATTTCTTATAGCATCCTATTTTATAGATCGCATTGTGTACTGTAAAGCTTGAAAATAAAAAAGAAAAAATAAAATAAAAAATAATGTCCCACACTCTCACTTCTCCTCCCTCACATCCACTCACCTGAGATTACCATGCAAACAACAGAATAATGGAGGGACAGACAGAGGTTAATGTGTAGAAGGGGAATAGGATCTCTTACCAGCTGATCAAAGTGAGGTATAAAGAAAACTCCACAAACTGGGTGTGTGTGACCAATGTCCACTTTTTCTCCTTCCAACCCAGCAGCTAAAGAGAGAGGTTTACACCTAGGAGACTCAAAATAGTGAGTAGTGAGTGTGTGTGTACCTTCATTGAGAGTAAACCTGGCCATGTATTCATTACAGGAAATGTTGAGTGTGGGAGAGGGAGTGGGAGGGTAAGGAGAGGAGAGGGACCAAAGTCGGGCTGTCGCTGGGTGAAAGGGAACTTGACCGACACAGTCTGCAGCAGATGATGCTCTCTGATGTCCCATACACACAGAAACTGCAGTAAGGCAATGTGCACGTAGGTCAATACAATGGTGTGCCTGACCAAATCTTGTGAGAAGTGCCAGGACCTCACATCAATAGCCACACCTACAATGCCTGTGGCGTGGCTGGAGAGAGAGGCCACTGGCTGATGAGGTTAGAATGGTGTCCTCAGTCTATCGAGACTGCCTGTGGCCGCCACCTCCAGATGATGACTAGCAGCTGTTGACAAACTAAGGTGTGAATGTTAGATTGATCACACTGGTTATAATTATTCCAGCTACACAATTTTGATTTAGAGCTTGCAGCAAGCTAATGCATATCTGAATTAGATGCGCCTATTGGTAGCAAAATAATTATTATCAACAACTTGTACAAATTAGGCAGTAAGCAGATTTAGTTCCAACTGTTCATTCAAATTTGAAAAAAAGGTCAATCCCTGACATTTGTTTTTCATAAATCTCATCAAAACGTTGGCTTTGTTCCCCGGAAAAATGCTCTTTCCAGCCTCCAATCTCTCCCTTTCGAATGAATGGTGTACTTCTTTGAGAGTGTAATTTGTCAGGACCGAAAATCCAGGTATAATTGGAGCTGGAATCTTTTTTCATGCTGTTGAAAGACGATTGTTGGAGCACCTTTTGTAGAAGTTCGTCCGTCAGATTTTCGACACCAATGAAGTTGGCGACAGTGCGGATGGCAGTGAGTGGGTCGGTCTTCATGTCCTCGTACTTGACGTAGAGGATGTTTGGAGAGGCCTTGCGTTTCCACCACCCCAGAACGTGGGTAAACCAATCCCATTGGTTTTCTGGAGATAGTACTGCAGCCATATGATCCTCCCACGATAATGGCAACATATTATTCATATGATGCCACACAGATACGGACACGTCTTTAGGATTCCTCATGACGTAGATGTACTTGGCAGTAGTGGTGTGGGGAAGACCTCCGGGAACCAACTCGTACGGGAGATGGCTCTTAAACACTCGAGGAGAGAGGACGTCGTTCGACGTTGCCATGTCGGGGGTATAGCCCAGATATTTACCGAAGTCGCAATCAAGAATCTCCAGCCACGGGATTGATCTGTCCAACTTCATGTTGTCTGGCTGGCCGCCATTGCGAAGTAGCTTGACGATCTGCTGCATCCACGTAGTGCCAGACTTGGGAAACGTGACGATAAAAACGTCGTCTGGTCGTACGGGAAACCTCTTTAGTTCCTCCCATCGCTCTGGGGTGTTACGCGGCACCTTCACCCCGTTTTTTATTTCAAATAGCTTTCGAGGATCCATTGCTTCGTCCATTTCTTCTGCTCAAGGAAAGATTGCTGAGTGTAGAGGCGATGCTATAGTGCGTGACATCATCAACGGTTTTCACAAAAATCTGACGTATCAGGAGTACTTATCCGCAATATCAATTGCAGCTTTCTCTTTGATCCTACCGCGTTGTCATGGCAACATGTATGACGTAATTCACCGTGGCTAGTATTGCTTTTTCTGATGCCTGTTTTTGTGAGTTTTCTGCCGTCTGCTGAGGTCTCTCCATGGCTGAAAGAGTCTCTCGAAAGCGCCGAAGGTCACTCCAGTTGCAAGCTGAACGCATGAGAGCCGCGAAAGCACGAATATCGGCTTCGATGAAACGGTCGAGTCGTCGGCTTAAACAACAGAGGAAGAGCCCTTTGCCTAGTCCCAGCGGGTTAAATGAAAGTTTGCAGTCATAGTGGAGTCTGTGTACTACCTGCATTCTTTAGGCCAGTGCTATTCGCACCTTACTCAGGCCGTAGCAGGCCCTTTAGCTAGTCAGGCCAGGAATGAGGTGTGGTTAATACGGTGCAGTGTGCGCATGCGCAGCGCTAAGCGCACAGCGCGCGGGGGGCCGTCGACGGCGCTATAGACGTGCGAGTGCGTGTTCGCTGGACGACGGTATGGAGCGTAGCCGTAGTGCAAGGCCGTAGGAAGCACTTTTGAAGTGCTCAGGCCAATGGGCCTGGGCGTGGTATAACCCACGCCCCTCATGACGTTCATGAGGTCGCGCAGTCCCAGGGCGGGTACAAAATTGGGGGTGGCCGGGCCACTGGATGAAGATAAACTATAATGTTCACAGCAAAGTAGTAATAGTTAATACTTGGCCAAAATGCCGGTTCGGTGTTCAGATTCACCAACAAAATTGTTCAAAACAGCAACTTGTCAGTCCTTTCTTTATGGACGTGCATGACCATCATGTGATTGAGCCGCTCTTGTGCCATGGTTGTCCTCAGGTAGTTCTTTAGGCGGCGGAGAGTCACTGAACGACCTCTCAGATGTCCCATTAGTTGCTGCATCACAAGTATCAACTGCATGCAGGAGGCATCTGACTCGTGAAAGAAGAGAGGCTTGTCCAGGTGAGAGAGACAGAAAGTATCGTTTTAGATCGAAGATTGAAATCTGTACAGCTGGTTCCTCCACTGTTTGGAAATGTATTCCAACTGGGAATGGAGAAACTCCTTTTCAAAGTCATCGTGGTAAAATGCACAAACATGATCCAGGTTCTCCTGAAACTCTTCCCGTTTTGAGGCTTTGATCAAGAGAGTCTCCAGTGATCGGTAGATCCTATAACCGGGTTGGTCGAACCGTTCCTGGACACAGTTTGTTATTAAGTCAATGGCTTCAAAGTAAGCCGGCTTGAAGTGTGCCTTGGGTGTTGATGGAAAGTGTGCACTGGCTGAGCCATCGTCATACCTGCGAGGTAGCTTTCTTTGCCGGGGCAGCTGAGGCTCGCTGATACCGAGTTCTTCTGCATTGAGGATGGCCAGGTCCCAAAAAAGGTCAAACTGGTCATCACTGCGCATTGAGTTCAGTGTGGCAACTGTCATCGCAGTGATCTGTTGGCCCTCAGTTGCTGACATTAAAGAATGCTGGAGTGTTCTGCTGAAGTTGTCTGCATGCTTGAGAACAAGCTCACCGAGCATTGATCCGAATAAATAGGTGAATGTTATCATCTGAGCTGCCACCCCTTGGAACTTTGCCTTGGTCTCCGTATATATATATCTGTCGTTGCTTGGAGTTGCTTCCCAAGTTCTCTGTAGAGTATTGTAATTGGCGAGGATGCTGGTACAGTGCCTGTCGGTTCTTCAGCTTCTGGGCTGCATGCTGCTGTGAGAGCTGTTCTCCTATGTCACGTGTTGTCGATGGGAGGGTGACAATCACCTCCACAGCTTCACGAAGACTCGCACTCTTTTCATGGTTTCAGAAAGCATCCTTCCAGTTGCTGAATCCTCTGGTCACCTGTGATAATATTGCTGTTGAAAAAAGGATTTTTGATTAAACAATTGCTGGATCCGCATTGTGCTCAGAGATCTTCGTCTGCTTGAAAGCACATAGACATGTATGGGAGTAAGCCAGCACATCGTTCGCTTCATTGTAGTGAAGGAATGGCCACTGGCTGAACCATGCAGGCTGGAGAGAGCGAGATACCGGTTTCTTCTGCCGAAACGTTCGCTTGGGGAACTTGTAGCTCGCCGACGGTTGATGTGGCTTGTCAGGAGTGTCCTGTACCGTTGGCACAGACGCGGGGGTAGCCATGAGCGCAAGTAGGGACGAGTGACCAGCGGCAGCAAGTGCAAAATAGTCAAAGTAACGTGTGTCTATTTTCGCATATATGTAAGTGTTAATCGAAGCAGCTAGCTGCATTAAGTGTTAGTCACCCCGCGCGCTATGATGATGGCAGCGCAGCAGCTCTCGCGGAGCTACGCCCATTAACGCAGCCCTGCGGGTGAGCAGTCTAGAAAGCAAGCGTAAAACTGGTCCGGCCAAAACCGGACCGGCCGGACCGCTTGCTACGGCCATGCGCTCAGTATACGGTACTTCTCTTTCTCATCTCACAGTACGTCACTCAATCGACTAACCTCAACTGTGAGTTGATCCTCCAGGCTCTGGCGAGTCTCCTGTACCAGCTCCAGCTCTGTGCATCCCAGTATTGCAGCCAGAGAGCAAGCGCGCTTTCACTAAGCTAAGGTTGCTGCATGCAGACTGCCGCTCTAGCGCTCGCTAAAATGACCACGCCGCGCCCTCAATTTCGAGCCAGAAGTGGTCCGGCCAAAACCGGACCGGCCGGACCGCTTGCTTACTTTGCTAACCACCCGGATGGATTATGATCGGAGCCGGACCTCGCCCAGGATGCTTGCCCCCGGATGGACCATGATCGGCACCGGACCGCGTCTAGGGATAGGACTAAGGCATCGATTGGTTGAGTCTGTCGATGCCCTAGCCCTATAGACGAGGTCCGTCCGATCATGATCCATCCGGGCGGCAAGCATCATAGACGAGGTCCGGCTCGATCATGATCCATCCGGGAGGCAAGCATCCTAGAGGTCCCAGCCCTAGCCTATAGCTCCAGTCCTAGGTGCTTACCGAAAAAATTCAGGGATGTGACAAAAGAATGCAGGTAGCTAGTACACCAGTCTCCACTATGACCAAGTTTGTGACTCCCTGCTCCTGATGCTGACGACAACAACTTAACAGAGTCGGAAAATGAGAGCAGTGATGATGATTATGGCTCGGATTTCACGCTCAAGACGCTGGTGCCCCTTATCAAGACTGGTTAGTGACAATAGATAGAGAAGATGAATTACACTTCTCGATTTGGTCTCACCAACACTTCTGCTGCTGCTGAAGTCGCGCACCTGCTGGGTTTCAATGAGGAAACGATCAGAACCATGGAGTACCTTAGACTCTATTCATGCTGGAAAAGTAATACGCAAGACTTTATTTAGTCTCATCACAAATGTGAACCGTCATTTCCCAGATAAAATCGTGGCGCTATGACATGTACATAGCCGGACCGCCGGGCAAGAGAGGTGTGGTTGGTAAATTATTACGCATTCTCATAATTCCTTTTTTCCAGCAAAACTGAAGTACCTTGATCCTGGGCCATTCATTCCCAAAAACGTAAAGGAACTTGTATGGCTGAAACTGTTACATATTTATGGATCGAAAAGGGGTCTTGTACGTAATATCGACCATAGCTACCATGCCATGTGTCTACTCTGCACTCTTCCTGTGCAGAAGTTGAATTATGTCATGGATGTGTTAGTTCCTGAGGTTATTGTTAAACTCATAATGGACGAAACTGGGTTGGAGCATGAACAGGTAAATACTATATCTGGAGATGTCAAACTTAAACTAAACTGATTCAACTAACAGGCAGAAAAGCTCTGTTTTCTACAGCGATGGGAAGGTAGTGTAT